CTCAACCCCACCCTCGCCAACACTCAACCCCGCCCCCGCCAGCTGTTGGCCCCGCCCCCGGCCTCGCACCCGCAGCTACCCCGGTCCCCCTAGTGGTGGGTGTGGCCCGGGGGGGGGTCCGAGGTGGGGCACAAAACCCCATTTTTGGAGTTTTTTTTTGGGGGGGGGTGAGGGGGCAGGTCCGGAGCCAGGTTTGGGGGTGCCCACCCCCGGACCCCCACCGGGGCCCCGGGGCCACGGCTCGACAACCATGGCCCCAAAGGCTGAGGGCCTGGGGACAGGCAAAGGGGGGGTGGGCGAGTGGGGGTTGGTGCAGTCTAAAGTGTGGTCAGGGGCAATGTGTGTGTGTGTGAGTGAGAGAGAGAGAGAGGGCGCCCTCGACAGTCCGGTCCTCGTCTTCCTCCTCCCCAGTGCGATCTTCCACCTTCTTCTCCGCACCATCCTCCGCGGCCTTCTGATTGTCGTCCTCCTCCACCTCCACGTCATTTTTTTTTTCCTTTCACGTGGAGGAAGATGATAATGGGGAAAAGGAGGCGGAGGACGAGGACAACGGGGAGAAAGAGCAGGAAAACGATGTGACAATGGAGGAAAGGAGGAGAAAGACGACGGAACGAGGGGTAAGAAGACTGCACTGTGGAGGACAAAATAATTTCTTTTGTTTTTTAACTTTTATTATTTATACCTTCGACACAGAGAGAGAGAGAGAGAGAGAGAGAGAGAGAGAGAGAGAGAGAGAGTGAGAGAGAGAGAGAGAGAGAGTGAGAGAGAGAGTGGGAGTGAGAGAGAAAGTAATTTTCCAGAAGCAAGAGACAAAGCGTCCTTGAGCAATGTTAAAAGCGAAATTACATAACAGAATACACAGTAAATGAGTTAACATTCACACAAAAATCTCTTCGTATAGACATGATGGTTTCCGACCCGGCTTTAGGAATACAACAAAAATGTAATTGTTTTGTCATCATGTGACCACCTATACTACAATTGTACTTAGTGACTACGAAGTTATGAACAACCGCGTCTCTCTCTCTCTCTCTCTTTCTCTCTTTGTGTATATATATACACTCTCTCTCTCTCCTCCTCCCTCTCCCTCTCTCTCTCTTTGTGTATATATATACAACAGAAACGTAATAGTTCTGTGATCATGTGACCACCTATGCTACAATTGAACGTAGTGACTATGAAGTTATGAACAATTGTGTTTTTTTCTCTCTCTCTCTCTCTCT